TGAATAGGTTGTTGGCTTCACAACAATTTATCAGACGCTCACCAGCTTCATTCCTTTTGCCTAGTCCAAATCTGCCTACCATTTTTTAATTCTTCTTTGTTTCCAACCTTTGCGTTCCAATCTCCAATGATCAGCTTGACATCTTGTGTTGGTGCGTTGTCAATTTCTTCCTGTACTCCTTCATAAAATCTATCAGTTCCTTGTTCTGCCTCAGTGGCTGGTGCATATACTTGAATTATGGTGATATTCATAGGTTTCCAATGGAGCCTTATTGAGATGATGCGGTCTGATTTTGTATTGTATCCTCTTTTTGCAACATCTTTTCTTAGTATGAAAGCCACCCCATTTCTTTTTTTTCCCTGAGTAGAAAACTGTGTGGTTGTCTGATTCAGAGTGGGCCATTCCTGTCCATTTTAACTCAGTCACCCACAGTACTGCTATGTTTATGTGTTCCATTTCCATTTTTACTATGCCCAGCTTCCGTTGGCTCATACTTCTCACATTCCATGTCTCTTATGTGCAGTGTTACTTCTGATGGGATTTGTCTTGCTGAGGGTTTGTAATGCTTGCTTCGTCAGTTTTGACTGCCCTTAGCTGTTCTTGCAAGTATGTTTTCCTTTAGTTTCTACTATCTTTCTGTTAGTGCTCTTGTCCTGCCTGTGTGACACTATTGATGTCTCATCATAAGGTTTTCTAGGTGGGGGGGTTACATAAGGAGGACCACCTACACCTCCCTGTGTGATCCTATCACCAGGTTATCTTGTCCAGTTTCTTCAGAGGGGAGTTTGTCATTGCCATCCTCTGAGGCTGAGAGAGTGTGACTTGTCCAAGGTCACTCAGTAGGCTTCCATAGCCGAGCTGAGAGTTGAACCCTGGTCTCCAGAGTCCTAGTCAAACACTCAAACCATTGCACCATGCCAGCTCACTTCAGGATATATATTACATGTCAAAACATATATGGGAAATGCAGATAGAGTAGACTATGAAGCTGACTACAGAAGCAGCACTAGGAGAGTGATAATTAACACTTTGTGCTATTTCTATATTCAAAATCCATTTGACAAACCTGCCCCCAGCCTGTATTAGATAGAATATGAATTTTTGGCTTTGCTACTACCTTGTGCTTTGGATTAGATGTGATACTTTTCAGTCAAAACTACACTAATATTCTGGATTTCTAAAAAAAAAAATCCCTGCAGGCAGTTATCACTTTTCCACTGTGTAGGACCCACCAGTTTTTATCCTCAGCCAAAAGAAAAGAAAAAATATCCTGACCAGAAAGCTGGTTGATCTCTTTGGCAGATAATGGAAGTAATAGTCTACAATTACTTTGTATTTCTGTATTCTATGCTGATTTCAAGAACTTGTGTGCTTTGCCCAAAGCAATAGACAGAGTGTGAAGTTGCAGCCAACTTTATATTTTCAAAAATGGATACTGGCCATTGCTTCTTTGTTCCAATATACATTGCCATGTTTAACCTGTTACCAGCATACACTAGCTACCAGTGATAATTTAGTCAGTAATGTCCATCTTGGGACTGAGTTTAACTCCAGGAAAACATCTGTTCTAGTTTTTGGACTTTGATATTGCTTTTTCCATTCTTTCCATTTTTTTGTATTGCTAAACTTGATAAAAATTTCTGAGCACTCAAAGGCTTTGAGATTAGTCCTAATATCTGTTATTCTCCTGTCATAGAGTTTGTTTCGGTTTTCTCATGTAGTTACATGGCTACTTTTGCTTTTTATCTACAGTTTGATCTCTCCCTCAGTTCATAGTTCTGTCTTCACAAATTAGCTTACAAAACCTGAAAGTCAGCTATAGCATCAAAACTAAAACTGCTGGTTTTACAAGATTTAGAGATTTGCTTTGAAGAGAAAATCTGGGAATCTGTGACAGCTAAGAGTACAAATGGATTGAGACTGGAGGGTTAGTCACACTTTGAAAATAATCCAGGATGTATCTGAGTTGAATCTCCGTTGTTCACATGCATCCCGAATGCACCCGATCAAGTTGGGAGATTGCCAAAAAACCCCACTTAATCCAGGAAAATTGATATCGGGTTTCCTCCCTCCAAGTTTTTTTAAAAAGATCTACATTGTTGGTAGTGTGAATAACCAATGCAAATAGACCCAAATAGACCCAGGATAAAATGCTGCATGCTTTGAATGTGTTCAAATGCATTCACGCCATCAACTCCATCTTTATTCGAATGCTTGCATGTGTGAGAACCAAACTTGCAGAGATGTGCATCAATGCAGTTCTATAGTGTGAATAACAAACTGAGAGTGCATGAATGAGATAATTCACATTGTCACACCAAAAAAAAAAAGTCTGAATGACCCCTGGGTAATACCTTGACTAGCCAAATGGGCAATATAGGACCTTAGTTTATTATTTTGTGTGCTTTCAAGTTGACTATTATGACCCCATCATAAGGTTTTCTTGGCAAGATTTATTCAGAGGAGACTTGCCACTGGTTTTCTCCAAGGCTGAGGGAATGTGACTTCCTCAAAGTCACCCAAGGGGATTCCATGCACGAACAGGGTTTGAATCCCTAGTCTGTCAAAGTTCTAGTCCAGGATGCAAAGCATTATACCATGCTGGCTCTTATCACAAGATAAGTTGTTCAGACATTAGAATGGTGTCATCTAGAGATACTGATTTTCCAGAAATGTTGAAACTGTGAGGGGAACTGTTTGTATGTTTGCTGTTACCAAAAAATGCCAAATTTTGGAAAACATAAATACATGTATCTATACTCATGTCAAGCCTAAACTCACTTGTCTTTCCCAACAACATAATTCATGCCTAACTTACTTAGCATATAGAATTTTTACTATTTGCCATATTTATGACATTTTCAATTAAAAATTAAAATAAGTAATTTAAATTAATTTGAAATCCATTACCTTTGTAAAAAGGTAAAGGTATTCCCCATTGACAAGGTTGTCAAGTCGTGTCTGACCATAGGGGCGGTGCTCATCTCTGTTAATAAGCCGAAGACCCAGCACTGTCAGAGACTACGCTGTGATCATGGGGCCAGTATGATTGCACAGAACACTGTTTACCTTCCCATTGGAGTAATACCTATTTATCTACTTGCATTTGCATGCTTCGAGCTGCTAGGTTGGCAGAAGCTGGGACTAGTGACAGGAGCTCACCCCATCATGTAGCACCCAGGCCTCAAACTGCCAACCTGCTGATCTTGCAATTAACAGTCAGTGTCTTAACTACTTGAACCACTGCATAAGTAAAATAAGTAAAAAATAAGTAAAAGTAAAAAGTTGATATAAGTAAAATTGTAAATATATTAAGGGAAGTATTATATGTTAAGTTACCCAGGACAAACTGTAAATAGATGCATCTTATGCTGTTATTAGCCAAGAATATGCCTTGGAAGTATTATTTTTTCTAGCTTCCAGTGTGTTTCTCACATGAGTCAAGGTACTATTTTTGAACTACAATGCTCTATGTAGCTATTTCTAAAAGATCTGTATTAGAGGCCTCATTCCAGATCCTGTTACTATCTCCAAAAGAGGGAAGTAACAGTCTACCCAATGAGAATATTTTCTTAATGAACTCCTGGGTTGTTCTCACCCCACAGATTTCAGCTGATGCCAATGCTGTTGTTTTGTGTTATTATATGTTGTTCTCTTGGACTAATATTAGTTTCTGGGATCCTTTATTGATTTTTATACTATTATAATTTATACTTTCATCTATATTTTTATTCCATCTGTATTTCAAATCTTTTAACTGATAAAGTATGGTATTATTTTAGGTAAACTATCTTGAAATATTTGAAAGGCAGCCAAAAACATTTAGAATGAATTGATGCTGATAGACGTATTGAAATCAGAAATGTTGAAAAACAATGAATGAACACAAACAAAAATATTTTAGTTAAGAGTTCACAATACCAATATACCTGTTTGATGTAGAGATATGAAAACTGTCCTGATCTGTCAGGGAAAGTTAAGATTAATTCTTAGTTGTCCCACTTTTTCAGCTGCTTTTAAAATGCCCCACTTTCTCTTTCCTCCTCCCTCATTCCCCCTCTGTCCTCAGCTTACTTCAGTTGGTGTAAACTGAGAACCTGTACAGACCGGCCAAAAGGGCTGGCCTGGAGGTGGAGTTGGGGTGACCCAAACAGATGGCAGGCAGTGTCAGGGTGCTCCCTTGGCATAGCTTTTAGACACACTGTGCCAAAGGAGCGCAGAAAAGCCACTGCCGTGGTGGCAGGGGCAGCTTTTTACCACTCCAAAAAGGAACGGCATTTGCCAGCTCTTTTTGGAGCTCTTTTTGGTGCCGGATCGTGGCTGCGGTGTGCGGTTGCCGCAGCCACGATCGACGCTCCCAGGGGCAGCACTGAGCCACTCCTTAGGGTCTTCTGTAGAGTCCTTGAGTTAAACATAGAAAAGTAATTTGTACTACGTTAACTCAGTATGTGTGGGAGGGTAGGAGGCAGCAAAATCTTCCGTGTGTGTGTGTGTGTGTGTGTGTGTGATTTTTCTTGAAGTCATTTCCAATTTATGGCATCCACAAGGCCAAGCTATCACAGGGCTTTCTTGGCAAGTTTTTTCAGAAGATGTTTGCCATTGCCATCCTCTGACTCACCCTAACCTCTGTGTTCTTCTTCATTAATAACTTTTGTCATCTTGACACACCTTGTCTTTCTTGGCCACATGTGTCCCAGTTTTCATCTGTGAAATGTTGGAGGGTATGGGAGCACTGTGTTATGTGCTAAGACTTGCATCCTTTTAACATGTCTAATGTGTTGTATTCCTTTTTTATATAGAATTTTGGTGAACGCCATTTACTTCACTTCCTTAATTGTACTGTAGAACAAAACAATGAAGAATAATTTGAGAACCGACACAGTGAATGAAGTATCCACACCTGGTAGAATGTGCTTTATTTATTCCTCTTTATATTTGGATATCTTGCTATAGAAGTGTATTATTACCATAGGCTATAATTCTATGGCCAAGGTTTCTATGGCCAAAGGATGGATTTGAACCCTGGATTCCAGAGTTGTAGTCCAGTGCTCAAACCACTACATCACACTGGCTCTCAGCCCTTTTTATATTCCAATGTATGTTGGGTTGTTTTGTCTTCAGTGGGAGGAATTATTCTATGGGTGGGGGGAACAACACATAGTGTTTTTTTGCACAAAAATCCTCTTTTCTGTATGGAGAATAGGTTTTCAGTACAAGAAACCAGTACAGAAAACAAGCTTTTATATGTTCTTCCACAACACTCCACAGTGTCCAAATACTAGGAGAAAACGTGCAGAATTCTCACTGGTTTCTTATTCTTCCTGTTGGAGTTTCCAGGAAATGATTAATTACAGTGGACCCTCCATACTGGTGGGCTGGTGATTTGCAGATTTGACTACCTGCAGATCGGCATGCCCCACATTATTCAATGCTGGTGCATGCACAAAGACACACTGACACATCTGCATGCATGACACCATCACTGAATAATATGTGGCTTGCATTTTTTACCATCCACAGGAAGTCCTGGAACTGAACCCCCATGGATGGGAAGGGTTCCCTGTACAAATATTCTTTCAATTCCTAATATGGAGAATCATCTCTGGACCTTATATGTACACTTTTCTGGACAAAAATGTTTAAAAACCACACTCCAGTATAGTGTATTACAAAATTCTGTTTATAATGATGAAGTAGTAGTTTAGTTTCATTGTGTGAATAGCCCACTTAATTTCCTTATTATATGCCTGTAAAATATATAGCTTTTAAAAACCATTCAACTCCTTTACCTTTGTACTCAATTGCATTATATAGTTGTGTGATATGTGTAAAGAATGCAAATGAGCTAGATCTTCTTGATTTCAATATTAGCAGCTTCTTTTGCATTTCTGCACATCTAGAATAATTCATTTTTTAGACTACATGTCCCAGAATTCCCCAACCAGGGCTATTCTGGCTGTGGCATTCTAGAAATTGTAGTCCCCTAAAAGTAACATTTGCATGTTCAGCATTTTCTGTGTGCATGCATGTGTGTAGACAGACAGTATTTTCAAAACGTGTTTTGCTAAATCCAGCCTACTTTCCCGTCAACAGAGCTTACATTCAATGGCTATGACAATACTGCTTTCCAGATGGATGAAGCAGTGGCCAAGAATGATCATTTAAAGAAGAATAAGAAAAAGTAAGTTGTCCTTTAACCTCTTTGCTGCCTTTGAATTGGGACAACTGACTTCAGTTGACTTGTTGTTCTGTGTAAATCTTTTTAGAAAGAAAAATGAGAAGTCAGAGAAGAAGAAGAAAAAGAAAATGGTTGGGTTTTTTGAATTGGTATGTAAACTGTTGGTTTGCTTTTTCTTTGCCATTTTGGAAGGAATTTGTTCTGGTGTCTGAATAAAAGCTGTAGAGGCCTCTGGCCTAGTTCAGGTTATGATGTACAGCATGCCTCTTTTACCAAAGCCTCTGACAGTGAAAATCCCTTTTACAAAGTGTTTTTATGTCTATTCAATCCCTTTTTCCTGGTCATCCTCTGTCTAATTTTTAGCAGCATTGGAAAGATGATGAAGGAGGGTTGGAGCAATTTTAGCAGCATTGGGAAGATGATGAAGGAGGGTTGGTGTCTGGTTGTAGCAGCATCTGCAGCAAACAATGCAATAAATCTTGAGAGGGGAAAAATGGAATTCTTGACTACCTGATTTTACTGCAGCTGTGTTTACCAGCCTTTAGTAGGCAAGGTAAAGTGCAGCTGTCTTCAGAATCCCTTACTGAACATGTGCAAACAGTAAAACAGTGAAAAAAGAAGAGAACAGATAAGTCTGCCTCAGTTCCCCTTTAAAAAGCATAGGTCTATAAGTTTGGTCATCAAAATGGAAATCATAAGTGGAGGCTGGGGAAGTAAAAGTCATAGCATCAGATGAATTTGGGAAGAAGCCTTTCAGCACTCCCTAGAAAATGCAAAATGCTTTTGTTTATTTATGAAAGCTTACCTGATCTGGTTATTTCATTTCATTTGTGCATATTCTTAGTTTTGAGTAACAATTTATTGCAACGTATGTTCAACTGCTCTTCCATTTTGCTGCTCTTTTCTGGGCTGGCAAACGGGCAAATTAGGGCCACTGTGTGTGGTAGCAGTGGCCTCGATCCTCTGCTTCCTGTGGTGGCCCAGGGCTGCCCATCTGCAACCCCCCTTAGTTGAAACTGAATAAAACATAGTTCTAGCACATCATCATACTTAAAAGAGTATTCACATAAATTTAGCATACACTCCAGTTAAGAAACTATTCAATAAGTTACCAAGTGACTATTCAGGAATCTTGCTGCTAAGAGGGAAGTTGGACAAAGCACAGTAGCAAGGAAATTGTAATACATTGGGCAAATACAAATATAATACTTGAGGGTCAAGGCATTAGGAAAAGAGGATGCATTATAGATGGATTAATTCCATCAAGAAAGCCATGGCCCTGAGTTTGCAAGATCTGAGCAAGACTACTGCAGATCCCTTGGAGATCTCTGAGGGGGTCAGCATAAGCTAAATCCAAGTTCACAGCACATAACAACAGTAAGGTACAATGCTACTTTGGTCTCTTGCCTGAAAGTGGGGCAATGGTCCTAGATGTCCATATACCAAGCCACATATTTCCTTGTATAATACGGAAGGTCATTTGAAAAAGAAAATTGTTTCTTTCTCAGCCTCTTGGACCTGATTAAGATCAAAAACAAACAAACAGTCAGCTTTAGAAGGTTAAAAAAGAGTGATGCCAATATTCTGTGCCCTATTAGGCTCAATAATTATGGCAACCAACAGACTCAACCTGCTCTTGTTATGCATCAACCTTATAAGGGCTGTATTTAATTTAATCTCCTGCTGCTAGTTGTTGGGAAGCCAAGACCTAAATTTTGGGGAATTTATAATTAGCTCAAATGAGAGGGA